ATTCTATTCTATTCTATTCTATTCTATTCTATTCTATTCTATTCTATTCTATTCTATTCCATTCCATTCCATTCCATTCCATTCCATTCTATTCTATTATACTCCTATTCCTATTCCTATTCTGTTCTATTCTACTTGCCCTGTTTCCCCATTCTTCTTCCTGCCTATGATTTTCCACTTTCTTTTTCCAATTCATATTATTGTTCCAATTAAAATTATTGCATTAATACTCAGTTCCTAGCAAAAAATATTTATATTTATCTTATCTGACATTATTATGAGATGATTTTTTTGTAATCTACTTAGCTATTCATTCATTCATTTGGAGCTTATCAAAAGCTGTTTTATAAATCAAGTTCTGAGAAGTGGTTTGTTGTTGAATTGAGTCTAGTTAAGCTCAGCATGGTTTGCAAAAGGGTGCAGAGTTTGCCTCCTAAATAATTCTCTAGGGTTATTTTCTTAGTCTATCCATATTTCTACATGGATGCAAAATTAGAGCAGCAAAACAGAATGAGAACAAATCAAGAACAGACCAAACCATGGGTGTCCATGGGGTCCAGTTGCTTTTATCAGAATAAGAAAAGCAGCCACATGTCACCATCTCTTTCTCTTATGCGCATGCAAAGAAGCAATGACTACTTTGCTCACCTACAATAAATATTCTGGCCTGTTTCATAAGTGATTCAAGTGTGGCTAAAATAGGCTGTGGCTTAATATTATAGGTCAGGCATGTCAAACTCCTGGCCCACAGCTGGATGCATCATGTGCTGGCCACACCCACGCCTGGTTTAGGGGAAAAAAGTCCCGATACATCACATGACGATGCTGTGACGCCGTGAGTTTGGCAGCCTGTTATAGGTGAACTCATTTAGTGACTTAACTTAAAATTCTGAGTATAGATTTATAACACGCATTCTCAAACCCAACATTTACTTAGGTTTACCCTCTGGATCCATATTGGAATCCATGAAGCTAACACCCTTTTGCATCCTGTAGTTCTATTACTGGCCATGAAACTGACCTTCAGGAATGATGGGGACAGAGTCTTGTGAGGACACTGTTGGTCCTGCCCACATGCAAAGCTTCTTTGGACAAGATGCTGTTGATGAAAGCAAAGGAAAATCTCCCGCCGCAACCTGTAAAAATAATACCGCTTATGATTTTTATTCCTGATCAATAAAAGTTAAAGAAGAGTCTTATTCTTTCCTAAAAAGAAACTGGAGCACTGTATATGGTGAAAGGGACCTTGGCTGTACCAATATTTCTGTTTTTCCCCTTAAGCTGACAGCTTCTGAAAGTCATAGTGAAGGCAAAGTTCACTACATTTCTCCAGCAGAGCAGAACAGAATAACCAAGTTGGAAGGGATCTTGGAGGTCTTCTACTCCAATCCCACTGCTCAAGCAGGAGCCCCTATACCAATTGTCAGAGATGGTTTGGTCACCAGTAGCAGATAGACCTCTTCACAAGGGCTTAAATGTTGTGCAAGAGGGCAAAGCGAGTATAGAAACAATGCAATGACAAGAATTGAGAATAGGGCTTGGATGGGTGGGCAAGATATGAAGCAGCCTAATGATGAATACATTAATTCAAGAAGGAATCAAATAAATTATGTGACTCAAAGGTTCCAGTGTCTGTGTGCAAATGCAGAGAGTATAAGAAGAACGAGAACTAGAATTCAGGAAGGCAAATATGATTTGGTAGAGCCGTGATGGAGAAGTGGTTAGAATGCAGTACTGCAGTCTACCTCTGCTGCCTGCCGGCTGCCTGCAATTCGAATCTCATCAGGCTCAAGGTTGACTCAGCCTTTCAGCCTTCCGAGGTCTGTAAAATGAGGTCCCAGATTGTTGGAGGCAATTTGCTGACTCCGTAAACTGCTTAGAGAGGGCTGTAAAGCACTGTGAAGCAGTATATAAGTTTAAGCGCTATTGCTATTAGTAGGCATTGCTAAAGCCTTTAAGGATGAAACTCGTGAGTGATCATCTGAACTGGACCTTCAGACCTCCTCAATACATAGGCTCAATGTCTTTTACATAACTACTCCTCTTTCCTTTTTTCTGGTCTAGTAATTTTCTATAGGAAAAACCCATACTTTCATCGGTTCTGCAGATAGTAGGATTAGGAATAACTCAAAATGTAAGCAGTTGAGCACCTTACCTGTTGGGCTGCCCGCAGTAAGTAGCGTAAGTCAGGGAAAGTGCCTCCCCGGTCACGTTCTTTCAAAGCTGTACCACTTTTGACCACCTCATAAAATGGCTCAGGGACACGGGCATCAGTTGACAGAGACTGCCCTGCCTCCATTTTTTCTTTCACATCAAGGCCATCCAATCTATCCCATGGAATTTCCCCTAAAAATATGCATTGCTTGATATATAAGATCATAAACCATAGCTTAGGAAGACAATGGAATCTAGCCTGATAGTTTTGGCCACCACAGCATTCTGCTCGCTGTTATTACTAAACTTGTGCCCCAAAATAATTTGACACACCTTTAATGAATTATTAAAGCAGCATAATTTCATTGCAATTCTTACCGCAACATCTTTTTTCAAACTCATGTGGATTTATTTGCTTTTATGAACTGTAGAAAATGCAGTTTTTCTGAATAATTTTGAAAGCATTCAGATTCTAATTATTATAAAGATCTTGTTGTTTGAATCATTAATAAATAATCCAATAGTCAAAACCACATTTAAGAAATAACTTGAAGTGCGCTAACCTCAAGAAATTGAGTCAGATAAAGAAGATTTCTCCACAGGAAGGCAGTAAGGACAAAAAAAAGATCAAAGGAGCACCTACAATCTACATCAGTGATGGCTAACCTATGACACGCGTGTCACTCGTGACACGCCGAGGCACTTTGACTGACACGCCTGTTGGTGTGGGGAAAACCTGCACATTTAGAGGCTGCCTGTGCTCTGCTCCAATCCCTGCTCCCTGCTTGTTGCGTGGAGGCGTGGTGTCACCGCTGCTGCAAGATCTTTGCAGCAGAGAACCAGTTTTTGTGTTAGTTTGTCAGTTTCATTACCTCAGGAACGCTACAGGAGGAAAGGAGATCCATGAGGTTCACAGCCCTGTAAGGTGGCCTTCCGATCCCCACATCCTGCACCTGCAGCCCTGAGACAGGGAGACGAGTTTCACAGCCCTGTGTGATCACCCCAGCCCAGTCCGTCATAAACCAAATTATTGATATTTCTTGAAGTGACACACGACCCGAGGAAGGCTACACTTTTTCCCGATTTTCGACACACCAAGCTGAAAAGGTTAGCCATCACTGATCTACATTCTAGTCCTTAGGCCTATTTCTAATTGGTCATTTTAGAGCTTGTTTGTACAATTTTAAACTGGATCTAAATCTCCAAATGTGGCTATACAGAATATGACATGCCTAATTTAAATCTGACTCCAACAGCGCTATTTTAAATATAATTAAGGCTAAAACCAATGTGATCTCTCCCAAAAAGAAAGCATTTTTAACATACTGCATTTTTGGCAACATGTTCACATAATTTATTTGCAGCAAAGTTACTCTGCACAACTCACAGGTCGCTGATTAGTTCCTTCTACCTGTGATTTTCTACCGGTACTTAGGTCACAAACTGACCTGTGAAGATTTCCTGAATTACTGTGCAGAAACTGTAGAGGTCAGACTTCACAGAGGCTGATCGATCTCTGATGACTTCCAAGGGTAACCAGTTGTACAGAGGCGGAGGTGGTGGGATAGGCCAAGTTAAACAGAGTTTCTCTCTCCTGAAACAGAATCCATTCTGTCAAGATTCCTGCAAAACCCTATATCCAAACTGCTACAACTGCATTTGCTTCAACTAACCTCTGCTGCATGTACTCAAGGTTACTGAGCTTGGCAAGGCCAGGTCTCACCAGCTGTATGGCGTGGGAGGTCACAGCCCGATGGATATAGCCTCGAGAATGCAGGAACAAAAGCGCTTCAGAGACCTGGAGGAGCAGATGCACTGTAGCGGAGGATGCCGGAGAGCTAGGATTCTGCAGTGAAGGTAAGAAGGGAAGTATGTAGTGCTGGGTGGCGAGAGGAGCAGCCCACCTTCCTGACTCTCCCACTTACCTCACAGTGCAAGGCATAGTAGAGGGAGCACATTTCTACCCTTTCAAAGACATGCTGGATAGTTTGGAGATCCATGGATGGACTCACGGCTAAGAGGAGCAGTAGATAGGGATGGCGAAGTTGGCTACAGGAAACACAGGACTCATGTTAAATACCATATCTACTTTGAATAACCACACAGATCACATCTCTTGATTGTAAACAGGAAAGCCTGACTGAATAAATCACCGCAATATATCCTTCTTTGATCCATCATTATTCCCAATGCCTGCCAACTGGAATTACCTGCAATGTTCTTGTTCAGCTAGGAGCAAGTCCATGGTGCGACGTGCTTTACTGCAGTTGGGATGTGCTTCTGGCTTGATGCTTCTCACAGTAACCAACTGTCCATTCCATAGCAAGCTAGAAACAGAGATATAATTATAATTATATATTATAATATAATAATATTATAATTATCATTATCATTATCTAATTATAATGAAATAATTAGAGTTAGATTCTAATCCCTTTCCCCCCCACAAATTGTGAAATGAAGAGTTAGAATCATAACTCATCAGCTGACTTTATTTACAAATCACCACTTCTACCAGACTACCAAGCTACACATCTCTATTTATGTAAAGTTGCTGCATATTGGTTCTGTTTTCCTGTTTTTAGATGCATATGTATTTCTATTCTCCTCTTGGAATTTCAGCGTAATGTCAAAGCTTGCCAACAATATTCTGAACTTGAACGAGATGAGAAATATTAAAGATGAACCATGGAAACATATGATGATATAAGTCACCATGTATTCATTATTGATCCAAGAGAAGGCTTTCACTATGTGTAACTACCACTCTTTGAACTGGATCTTTCAAGTTATTCTAAAGTTACATTTCATTATTCTAAAAGTGTGGGAAGGAACAATCCACAAGGGACTATACATAGCAACTCAAAATATAGCTTTACTTCCTCATGAGTGTAAATGGTCCATTCTGATAACTCCAATCTGCTTCTCCTTGTCCTCTGATCAGTTCGTTATTATCGGCAATGGATAGGAAGGCAGCCATCCGTGGCTGCTCGTATCTACTTGGATAGAGCTGGGAAAAAATGAACGAGTTAAGTATGCCGCTTAGCATTGCACTTTATAGATTAGTACCCACCCTTCCCACTGCACTGAACTACACTATTCAAAGAAATTTCCTTACATGTCCATATCCAACAAATGGCTTCTTCACATTTGCAAACATTTGGGGACAGTCCAGATACCTACAACAAGAAGGGCAGGAGGATTCTTTTAAGACATATTCTTTTGAGCTTTCAATATAAGAAAAGGAGATGGACAGTCTCTCTTGCTGACAAGAAAAAAAAATCTGTAAGTTGTAATCTATTTTCTTGGGTTTTGAAAAAAAGTATGGCTGCTTTCATGAACAGTTGAAAAGTGCTTTGCTCACGTGAAGTCTGAAATATTTCTTCAAGTCAATGTTTAGTTCTGCACTGGCCTAAGCCCTTTTCTTTTCTTGTATCTTTTCTTTTATGTATACTGAGAGCATTTGCACCAAGACAAATTCCTTGTGTGTCCAATCACACTTGGCCAATAAAGAATTCTATTCTATTCTATAGTTCAAATTGTTTCCACCTGAAAGGAATTATATCTTTAAAAGTGCTAAAATTAAATAATAACTAAATCCCACCAGGAGATAACCCTTTATTGTGACTTCAAGGAATGAGAAGAAATAACATTGAATAATGTTTTGGGCATTTTTTTTTTGGTTTTGTTTTGCAACAACATGAAGTTTTTGGAACATGAGTTTTTAAAGAAATGATCACGGTTTATTTATGGGATGTTAATTTCCGACATGTGCTATCCTGACATGCTGCACTTTTTCTTTCGCAAGTGTAGATAAAAATATATACTCACTGGGACATATTAAATGAGAGAACTATGTATTTGGTCAGCTCAGTCAAATCATGACTTTTGTTACATAATCTTCTACTTTAACAGGTTTGGGGTTAAAACCAACCAAGAATAAAGTTACCAGAAGGAGGTAGATAAAAGTGAGGTGAAAGAGGAACGCAAACTGCGTGAAGATGCTCCTAGACTTTTTGAGTACAGTGACTGATCACCGTGCTGCACCTGTGCTGCCATCTGAGCATAGTACTGTTGTATGATGTCCATGACCTAGAAGTAATTAAAAAGACTGGATCTCATTTTGCAAAATCCTTGCACATAATCAAACAGATGGATATCATAAGCTATACGCATGCTTGCTAAGTAAGCAGATTGTTAGGGGAAGAGCATCGCTCATGCCTCTGCAGCCAACATAGAAGACAAAATGGCCATCAGTATATTAACAGGTAATCCTCGACTTATATATCCATTTGTTTAGTGACTGTTCAAAGTTACAACGTACTGAAAGAAGTAAGTTATAACCTGTCCTCATTTAGAACATGTCAGAGAATCCACGGGGTCATGTACAGGTAGTCACGGTGGCGCAGTGGTTAGAGTGCAGTATTGCAGGCTACTTCTGCTGACTGCCAGCTGCTTGCAATTTGTCAGATCGAATCTCACCAGGCTCAAGGTTGACTCAGCCTTTCATCCTTCCAAGGTAGGTAAAATGAGGACCCAGATTGTTGGGGGCAATAGGCTAACTCTGTAAACCGCTTAAAGAAGGCTGTAAAGCACTGTAAAGCAGTATATAAGTCTAAGTGCTATTGCTATTCCTTGACTTACGACCACAGTCAAGCCCAAAATTTCTGTTGCTGTGAAGCAGTTGTGAAGTGAATTTTGCCCCAATTTACAACCTTTCTTGACATAGTTGTTAAGTGAATCACTGCAGTGCTTAAGTTACTAACGTGCTTGTTAAGTGAATCTGGCTTCCCCCTTGACTTTGCTGGTCAGATGGTCGCAAAGTGGGCATAATGAGGACTCAGATTGTTGGAGGCAATAGGCTGACTCTGTAGACCACTTTGAGAGGGCTGTAAAGCATTATAAAGTGGTACATAAGTCTCAGTGCTACTGCTATTGCTATAACCCAGGGACACTGTGACCACCATAAACCAGTTTGCCAAGCACCCAAATTTTGATCATGTGACCATGGGGATGCTGCAATGGTCATCACTGTGAAATACGGTCATAAGTTACTTTTTCGGGTATGTTGTAACTTCAAGCGGTCACTAAATAAACTGTTGTAAACCGACTATCTGTAGTTGACTATCTGTAGTTGACTATCTGTAATTGAAATTCAGGTGTTTGGCAACCAGCATATATTTACAACAGTTTCATCATCCCAGGTTCACGTGGCTGCTATTTTGCAACCTTCCCTGCCAACTTCTGACCAGCAAAGTCAATGGGGGAAGAAGAATTTGCTTAACAAATGCATGATTCACTTAACAACTGCAATGATTCGCTTAACAACCATGGCAAAAAAGGTCATAAAATCAGGTGCAACTCACTTAACAACTACCTTGCTAGCAATGGAAATTCTGGTCCCAGTTGTAGCCGTAAGTCAAAGACTACTTGTTAACTATCTCGCTGCACAATTTTGTAAAAGGAGTAAACTTTCAAACACAGAAAAATTCTCCAGTGCTCTTAATTAGTTACCATTAGATTAGAATCTTTTGCTTTTCTAGCAGGCTACTACATTTTGTAGAATTATATCCATATCAGCCTTATGAACTTTGTACCTTTGCATTTTCTTCACTTCCAGCTTGCTGGGCCCAGTCTTTAGGAGTCCGACCCTTTTGATCATGGAATCTTAAATCACCTCCCACTTGCAGGATATTGTTGAGAAGTCTTGGGTGACCTGAAAATGCAGCTGCATGGACTGGAGTGCTACCATCATAACAACGACTGGGATTCATAGAATAGAAAGAGAAGAAAGAGATATCAAATCATACTTCTGAAATCTTACAAAGAAAATTGCAGGGACCTGTCCAGGGTGTTGCTAGGAGTCAAAACTGACTTGAAAGCCTTAATATATAATTAATATATTCATCTGCTAGTTTTCTTTTCTTGTTTGAATTATAGAGTTGCTTTATGAGTTAACCCTGTAATTTATTTATTTAATTAATTAATTCACCCATGGTGACTCGAGGCAGCTTACACAATATAAAACCATATTTAAAACAAAACAAAAATAAAAACAAAAACTAACAAAAAGAATCAAATAAATTAGTAAAGTACAATAGAACAAAATTTGGGAAAACATAAAACAAAACAAAAAATAAAAAAAATAAAAAACCAACTCCCAGCCCCTGCCCTGACGACAGCAGATCGCACTGGCCATTTGATGGTCTCCATCCCTCTCTGGGTTCCCCAGGCCCACTGGCAAAACCAGGTCTTCAGTGCCTTTCAATTGATACAAAGTTAGCTCATCAACTGACAACTATTGTTCAAAAGCCTCCATTAAGATGTTGCTCTTAATGCTGAAGGGCAAATGAACTGTTCTACAACATGGACTCATTAGACATAATCAGGGGTGGGATTTAAATTTCTTAACAACCGGTTCTGTGGGCGTCGCCGAATTTGTGGTCGTGGCTTGGTGGTCATGTGACTAGGTGGGTGTGGCTTGTATGTAAATATTATAAATATTTATGTAAGTATTGAATTTTTTTATAAAAAAAGAGCAACTTTTACCCCAAATCAGGCAAAGCAGCAGGCAGATTGAGTTGCTCACAGAATCACAGATTCACTTAGGGATCTATCATTCTGCAATCTGAGTCTGTCACATAAAATTTGCTAGCAAGTAAACTCACAAAATTAACTCACAACACACCATGTATGTAAATATTGAATTTTTTATTTAAAAAAGGGCAACTTTTACCCAAAACCAGGCAAAACAGGCAGGCAGATTGAGTTGCTCACAGAATCACAGATTCACTCTATGATTCTGCAATCTGCTAACTGAGTCTGCACTAAAAAACAGAAGCTTCAGTCCTAAGGAAGGTTTAGCTCTGCTTTTAGATTAGCTAGAAAGCAAGAAATCCAATAATTTCCTGCTTTCTAGCTAATCTAAATCTCCCAGCACAGCGGAACAACTGATGGTCGGGGGGAAAAAAGGAAAAATAGCAACTTACCAAATGCAGGCAAGTTGGATGGCTCAGATGCCAAGTAAGGAGTAAGGGTGGGACAGGGAGGAGCCAGTGGTGCGATTTGCCGGTTCTCGGAACTGAGCAGAATCATAACAACCGGTTCTATAGAACCGGACCGACCAGGTAGAATCCCACCCCTGGACGTAATCCTGTCTTTGGGACAGCTGGGACAGTCTTCACTCTCATCCTCCTTAAAACACTTTAGGAATGGTTTGGTTTTTTTGAAAAAAAAATTTGGGTTTTCACAAAAAAATACAAATAAAACATTTTTTTTTAAAATAGCATGGTCCCAGGTTATCACTTCTTCATACAGACACCAAACTCAATTTCATGCTCATTTTTATATTCTATTCCATATCTTATTACCATTTTATATTTTCTACATAGTTTTTCCCCTCTTTTAATTTTCTCAACTTTGTTTTAATTATCTCAATTCAAATCATTATATTTATACTTTTGTCTGTCCTGTTACAATTTCACATTATCTTTTCTTATTGAGCAAATTTTTCCCTGTAGATACCAATTAGAGTATGACACCTTTATATCCTTTAATTTTATCCATTCAAGCTCTTATTTAAGCTTCAATGTATAGCTTTAAGATTATAGCATTCAATATAATACATAACTTCCAATCGAATTCTACTTGGTACATTCTTAAAATAGACACTATATTCTTAAAAAGATATGTATGTATGTATGTATGTATGTATGTATGTATGTAAATAAAACACATTCCATTCCAATTCAATTCTATCATTAATATGCATTAAAATCTTAACATCTTTAACATTTCTTTTCAATTAAATATCATACTTCCTTTGGAACACTTATAAACTTTCCATAGTTAATTCTTTTTTCCCCATATTTCTCACTTATATTTTTATAAATCATTACTAATAATTAAAAATTTTTCCTTTTAATTCTCTCAATCATTTTAATTCATTTATTTATTAACAAACATCCCACTGCATTACAATAAATATTTTATCCATCATCATATTTTCTAAAGTTATTTCTATTTGTAATATAACAAAGCTATCTTATGTACCTTTGCAGAATCCCTTTTACAATTAAATTTTCACCCATTATCTTTAAACAAACTTATGGTTACAATCCTTATATCTTTTCCCTGTTTCTCCATTTCTTGTTTCTGTCTTTTACAACTTCTTTTCCTTGCCTTCTTCCCCCTCTTCTTCTCCCTCCCCTTTTTACCCCCTCGTCTCTCTACTTCTGACTCTCTCATCTGTAATCCCCTCTTCTGTTGCTTTCTAATATTATACTTATCTTTCAAATTCTTCTTCTTCTTTTTGGTTGTTTTTTCTAGTCTTAAACCTTTCACTCTCTTTCCCCCCTTTTCTTTTTTCCCCCCACTTAAAATTATTTGATCATTAAAGATGGCTTCTTCTTTGTCCCAATCTTCTTGTTCTGCAAGTGTTTCTTGTTGCTTCTCATAGTTCCAGATCTCCATTTCTAAGAACTGAAACACGAAGCCAAAAGAACTTCTCCCTTCTGGTGCGTCTTCTTTCCATTTTTTAAGTTTTGTTTTCAGTTCTTCTAAAAGTGATACCATTTTAAAAACTTTTAAACAACCACCCAGTTAATTTTAGTCATCTAGATGCAAAAGCCAGAAATCACCAAGTAATCCAAATAATCCAAGGCTGTTTCTACTTGCTTCTTTTTTCCACTTTCTCTTCCTGGGTTTCTATTATTTTGTTACCAAGTTTCCATTAAAATGTATCTTTGAGGAATCTTGTTAAAATTTCACTGTAAGTTCCTTTTAATTACAGTTCTGTTCCTTAATTCCAGGCAGTCTCCTCCATTTTTCCAGATCCTGCCCTTCTATTCTTTTTTTTTTCTCCTTTCCAGCTTTTAAAAACTTTTAAATGTCCAGAAATCTTTATTATCCCCTTGACTTTTACTTTCAGCTTAGATGCCTATTAATGTCAAAGTGGATTTTTTTCCAGTTTCTTGCTAAGTCTCTTAGCTGTCAGTATAAGGAAGGGAAGAAAAAAAATGTAATCCTTTCCCTTCTCTCTCTCCTTCGCAGCTTCAAAATCTTCTTTGGGAACAATGTTGTTAAGTTTAAATTCCAGGGTACCTTATTTGTTGTTTTTGCTGTTTGACCCGGTCAACCAAAACTTTCTCTTCTTATCTTCCTCCTGCACATTCTTTTCCGGTCGAGTTCTTCTTTGTGGTGGCCATTTCTGACCACCGCTACAACCACCTTCGGGAAAGGAGTAATGGCCAGCTGGGGAGGAGAGATGTGGCTCTCCTCAACCCTGCAGGCAGTCTCCCCCTTCACCACCTCTACGGGGTGGCTTAGCCCCGAAACCAGCTGGCTCGGGGTGCTCCAGCAGCGGGCACGGATCGAAGCCTCGGAGAGACGAGGTTTCGATCTGTCACCGAAGAAGCTCAAACCGGAAGGGCACTTTAGGAATGTTAAAGTGCTGTTGTGTGGACCCCCTCCAACAGACCTGTTAGTGTGTTAGTTGGAAAGAGAAAGAGGGTATCTCCACTGCAAAGCTAGGCCATTTCTAGTCACTGTTATCTGTGGACTGTAGCTGCAAAGCTGAGAAATGTATAAATGGTGTAATTGTTCCTAAAGGAATGAACATCTGTAGATATCTGAAACAGTGTAATGCATTGAGATGCTTACAATATATTTCTATTCTAGAAGAATTGCAGAGTCAGAAAAGCTGCAAAAGAATAACTAAATATTGAACTAGCTTCTCTAGGAATTCTGTATCACTCACTGATTAGGATTAGCACCAAAGCGCAGAAACAGCTGAACTATGGAAGCATGTCCCAGCAGGGCACCAATATATAAACCAGTCTGTCCAGCGGCATTGTGGCTGTCGACTTCCACACCTAAGGAAGGAAGCATACATACTGAATAATAGCAAAAGTTTTTTTTCTGAATGCACGTTCACTGGAATTGGGCAGCCAACAAATTAATAATATTAACAACGGCAGCAGTAATACTACAAAATTACAGGTAGTCCTCAACTTACAATAGTTCATTTCGTGCCCATTCGAAGTTAGGGCACTGAAAAAAGTGACATGACTGTTTCCCACACTTATGACCTCCTCATGGTTACACGATCAAAATTCAGATGCTTGGCAACTGACTCATATTTATGACAGTTGCTGTGTCCCAGAATCATGTGACCACTTTTGCTACCTTCTGATAAGCAAAGTCAAAGGGGAAACCTGATTCACTTAACAACCATATTACTAACTGAACAACTGCAGTTATTCACTTAACAACGGTGGCAAAGAAGGTCATAAAATGGAGCAAAACTCACAAATGTTTTGCTTAGCAACAGAAATTTTGAGCTCAATTGTGGTTGTAAATCGAAGACTTATCTGTAATATGTATCAAAATGATTTCATTGAACTATAACTGAATCTGTCCCATATTAGAAATATGGAATAGAAAATGAAGCATAAATTTTGCTGCTTATATCCTCTATTTTCATCACATGAATGATGCCCAGCTAGAGTTCTTACTCTTATAAAACAGCAGCTATTGATGCAATGTAACCCACACAACAAACATGATTTACCTCTCTTTAGTAATATCTTGGCCTTATTGCTCTTGCCCTCAGCAGCATGCCTCAGTAACTGCCCCTCCAGAGATTCAGGTTCAGTAAAATAGCCTAGGCTCACAGGACAGTTTGGCGGGAGCACTGGCACCTTTGGCATCACACTAAAACAAGCATCAGAACATGGTTCAAGTGATATTATAAAACAAAGCACTGTATTAAATTAAATGCAATGAAATACCCTCCTTTAAAATAATATTTTAAGAAAACATGTATGGATGTGTGGATATAAAACATATGATGTCTTATATCATAGATGTGTGGATATAAAATATAGATGTGCAACACGAATTCAGAAGTGCAACACATTCAGAAGTGCAACAAAGCTGATTAGGGGATTGGAGGCTAAAACATGAAAAACAGTTGCAGGAATTTGAAAACCAGTATGTCTAATTTAATGAAAAGAAGGACTAGGGATGGCATGACAGCAGCGTTCCAATATTTAACGCTTGCCACAAAGAAAAAGGGGTCAACCTATTTTCTAAAGCATCTGAAGGCAGAATAAGAAGCAATGGATGGAAGCTAATCAAGGAGAGAACCAATCTAGAACTAAGGAAAAATTCCCCGACAACTTAGAACAATTAATCAATGGAATGGCTTGCCTTCGGAAAGTTTGAGTGCTCCATCACTACATTTTAAAGAAAAGATTGAACTGAAATGGTACAGGGTCTTTTTAAGCAGGGGGTTAGACTAGAAGACCAAGATGCCTTCCAATTCTGTTATTCAAATTCTTTTCCTCCTCCTTTCTATAATCCTAGTATCTTCAAGAGGGCACCACTATACAGAATGGAATACAGAGTTGGAAGGGACTTTGGAACTCACTACTTGACTCTGTTGTTACATTCTCAAACCTCCAAAACTTCAACCTTAAACCGTCTACTGTGGACCTCACTCCATTCCTGAGAGGTCTTTAAGGGGGCATGCATAAGTGCACCAGCTTGCCTACGGTCCCTGCCCTACTGTTCCCATTTATCTATTTATTTGTACTCATTTATTTTGTATGTACTTATACCTGTTTATACTGTACTTATGTTTATTTATGTTCATACTTATACTTGTTTTCTCATACATGTTTGAC